TGCTGAGATATGTGGGAATAAGGTGGGAAGTACTAATCTAATTATGCATGATGTAGATATAGGAAATGCTGTTCCAGTTAGGCAATGCCCTTACAGACTTAACCCTCTAAAGTTGGCACAGGTTCAAAAAGAGATTGAACACATGCTCAAAGACAATATAATCAAAGTTAGTTGCTGCCAATGGAGCTCACCCATAATAATGGTGCCAAAACCAAATGATACCAATGGTCATGTGTGGACTATCACAAAATCAATGCAGTTACCATCTACTGGAGTTGTTTGATTGACTTCAGGAGGTGGGCTTGGTGATAAACCTGACTAAGAGTGATTTTGTAAAAGCCCAAGTCACGTTCCTGGGCCACAGTATCGAACATGGAAAGATGGCCTCATGAGATGTGAAAACAAAGGTTATTGGGGAGTTTCCTGTACCATCAACAAAGAGGGAAGTACTACAAGTCCTTAGAGATTTTTGTCGGAAGTTTGTATCAAATTTTAGCAACGTGGTTGCTCCACTGACTGACTTGCTGAAGAAGTGCAGAAAATTTTAGTGAATGGAGGAATGTCAGAAGTCATTTGAAAGCCTGAAAGCTGTGTTAACCACTGACCCAGTGTTAGCCATGCCAAATTATGTAAAGCCATTCAAGGTGGCTATTGATGTCAGTGTTGGTGCTGTACTCTTACAAGAGAAGACAGAAAGACCTCTTGGGGTATTTTTTGAGAAAATTGAATAATCAACAGAAATGTTCCATAATTGAGAGGAGGACCTCGAGCTTGGTGTTGGCATGACAATATTTCAATGTTTATATTGCCAGTAATGTGCCCGAGACAACTGATTACAACTCCTTAAAATGTTTGGAAAAAATTAAGGTTAAAATTCCACACTTTTAGATGGAGCTTATTATTGCAGCCGTTAAATTTGAAAATTATATATGTGGTAGGGTGAGAGAACTTGATTTCCAATGCATTGTTGTGACTTTGGTGAAGGAAAACAGAGGTGTTTGGTGGCAGGAGAAAACAAATGGAAATGGACAGTAGTAGTAAATGCTTGCATGCTTTGGGTAAATGTAATGTATATGTATTGCAGTGTACTAAACTATAGGTTTTTAAAAATGAAGCAATCTTTGTGTATTGCTGGTTCTTTTTTATTAAGGGGGAAGGTGTGATGACACTATGGCTTTAAGAGGTGTATTCTATCCTTTTTTTTATGAAGAAAAGTTGTGACAGAGGTGCCAGGCAGTCAGCTCCAAAGCCAATAAAGTAAGCAGCTTGTGAGGCCTAGGGTGTTTTTTTAAAATTGGAACAATAGAAGCAGCCTGAATGGGTGGGGTCAAGCTCCCACAGTACCAGGAGTTTTAGATATGGTTTCTTGGTAGCAGTTGTTGCTGGGGTCTTGAAGCTGTGTTGCAAGTTGCAATACATCTCTCCCTGCTACTCTCTCTCTGAGTTTTCTCAATGTATTTCCTTCTGGATTGGCAATTTGCATGTAAGACAAACTATTTAACTGAATTTACCTTTGCCAAGGGTGGGTTTTTAGGATGATACTGTATTGGAACAGTTACTGTTAGTAGTTAAATAATCTATTATTCTGTTAAGTTTACTGACAGAGTTAACTTACTCCAATTTCTTCTGTCTTTTATTGTATTTTAACTATAGTGTATAAATAAAGTGTGCTTTGCTTCAAGGCTGATAATTTGAGCAATTAAATTGCATCTGGAACCAAACGCCTGGCACTTGCCTTTAAAATAGGAAAAGATAGTGTCTAGGCTATGTTCTTAGTATATTTTGAGGCTAACTGATCTGATCTATAACACTGAGTTCCAGTGACTTTGTTTGTTTAAAGTTCACCAAAGTTTGGAAGTACTCACAAGAGTCAAAGCCACAAGATTCCACTGCTTTGAAATAACAAAATTAACTTGACCATATAAATTAGAATCTTAAAACAATCTACAATATATACACAACTTATAATCTAACATCCAGAATGAGCATCAGGTATATATGGATAATGGACAAACTGCAATTGAAAAACTATGCAGCACAGAGAAAATGCAGTTGATTTAAATTCCACAAATTTTTCAGCAGCCCTCAAACATTAGTGACACTTTAAAAAAAATTGTGGCCATCACTGTCTAGCATTTATTGCCCACCCCTAATTATCCTGGAGAAGGTAGCGGGGAGCTGTCTTCTTCTAGGTCAACAAATCCCATTGAAACATTTTCTTCTTTTCAAGGGATTCCAATTCTTCATTTCCAAAGACCATGCTGTGGCATAATGGACTTCTCACATCCTGGTAATTAAATCTCTTTAGCTGAGACTGCATTCCATTGGATCCGCAAGTCTATACTCCAACATCTACTCACAGACGCAGTTCCAGTTCTTTCATAGTCACTAGATTCACTAAGTTGATGCTACCCCAAGGGCTTGCCTGAACTTCAATATTTTCTCAAACACAAACTAAAAGAGAAATTGCTGGAAAAGCTCAGCAGGTGTGGCAGCATCTGAGGAGAGAAATCGGAGAAATCCTCAGAACCCAACCTGAAAAGTTACCTCTGATTTTTCTCTGTGCATGCTACCAGACTTGCTGAGCTTTTCCAGCAATTTCTGTTTTTGTTTCTGATTTACAGCATCCACAGTTTGTTCGGTTTTTAATTCAATATTTTCTCTGCTGCTTCAGGTCATCACTGCTTGTGACCAGCCTTCGTCCTGTGCTCACTGGCAACAAATTTGTCAATGGTCCTAGGGCTTCTTCCAAATTCAAACTACTCCAGACAATTCCCAGGCTTTCTCCTGAAAGAAAGCTTCAATTCTTATCTTTACTTACTGTCTCTTAGGGTATCTATGAGCCTTAAATCCCTAGAGCCTGCTACTGCAGCGCATTTTCATTATGGATGATTTTTCCTTGCTGCCAAACATCTGACTGAATCCCTTAGGCTTCTCTTTCAACCCCTTGCCTTTTTGCTTCATCATCACCTCACAGCAATACTCTTTTCTATAGGTCCATAAACCAAAATCTGAACACTGGATTGAGCAAACACAGCACAACCCTCTCTGCACATCCTTCAGGACTCCGTGCGGTTGTTGGGAATTGTCATAATCACACCCCACTTGTTAAAAAAAAGGTAATTTCAGGAGAGTCCACACAAATTATCAATGATAGAGTCAATTGTGCAGTCAAGATAAAGCAATCCATTTGATTGGTATTTGATCTGACACCACCTTAAATTCTCACACCCTTACAGAGCGACAGAAGCAGTGCATACCACACAGAAGATTCACATGCTGCAACTTGTCAAACTGTTTTTTCAGTTTCTTCAAAACTTGTGACTTCTAGCACCTAGAAGAGCCAGGGCAGCAGATACATAGGACAGTGTCGTCATCTGAAAGTTCCCTTCCAAGTCTCACACCATCCTGACTTGGTACTATATTGCAATTACTTCAGTGTCGCTGCATCAAATTCCTGGAACTCCCTCTGTAATAGCACTATGGATACAGTGCGAGTGCAGCAGTTCAAGAAAGCACCTCACCCTGACTTCTCAAGGGCATTTAGCATTGGGCAACAAATGTTAATACCTACACAATGTGAAAGAATAAAACAAATGTCTGGCTTGAGAATAATACATACTGACAAAAAGCTGAACTGATTTTGGAATCAACAGTACCTACATCAGTTGTAGGATTGCTGTGATAGTCAAGCTTAACTCATGACTACAAAATCTCAATTTTGTATGCTGAAAATCTGAAATGAAAGAAAAGCTGGAAATATCCAGCATCTTCAGCAGGTTCAGCAATTTCTGGTGTCACATCCTTTTTGCCAGGATTTTCATTTGCTGTTTCTTTGATGACGTTTGCACGGAGGATAAACAAGGAAATGAAGTGTAGATATCTGTAAGAGCAGAACCCGAACCATTAATGTTTCCCAATGGTCTTTCACAATCCTGTAGCTGCGATGTGATACTAATTTTCAAAATATTTGTTCACTGAATTGTGGATAAATAGAGGAATATGGGCCAAATGCTGGCAAATGGGTGGCATGGTGGCTCAGTGGTTAGCACTGCTCTGTCACAGTGCCAGGAACCTGTGTTCAATTCCAGCTGCAGACACCTGTGTGGAGTTTGTATGTTCTCCCTGCATTCATGTGGGTTTCCTCCCAGTCTGAAGATGTGCAGGTTAGGTGGATTGGCCATGCTAAATTGGCCATGGGTGTGTAGACTAGGTGGATTAGCCAGGGGAGATGCAGGGTGATGGGGGTGGCTGCCCTTCAGGGGGCTGAATGGCCTGCTTCCACACCATAGGGATTCTATGATTTATTTGGACTGAATGGTCTGTTTCCATGCTGTACAACTTTATGACTCTACGCTCAATTATCAAACATTTTGAGTGACATCCCAAGGTAACTGAAGATGAATGACCAATTTTGTGTGTGTTTTTATTTTCACGATTGTGATTAAGTCGTTGCTTTGGATATGATTTAGAGATGAGTTCTGAAAGGTTTAGGCGCATTTAGGTCTGACACTGGTCAATTCAATTGTTAACTGTTCGCCAGCTTTGTAGATGCGATGATGTTGCGTTTCCAAGCCAGGTAGGTGAAACATGATTTACAATATTTCGGCCCCTACTGTAACATGATGCAAGACCTGGCAAAATATCAATATAGAGTTTCTTCATCCAGTATGATTTTTTTTTCCTTTGGATGATGAATTGCAAAATAATGCACCGAACTCCCCGCAAAATCTGTTATGAGGTGGTTGGCATTTATTTTGAAAGCACTGCAGAGGCAGCAGAGTGGAAAAAAAAATACAATTTCAACCTTTCTTTTTCGTTTCATTGCTAACAAATTTCAACTCTCTTTCCCAGCATTGACGATTAGCCGATCACGTAGATGCGAGAAGAGCTTGAAGCTGGCCCTACTGGGGGCGGGAACTGGCAGAGTGAGTGCAGCCCATGTACAAATGAAATGTGAGGCTTTTGCAGGAGAGAAGGAGGAGTCTCGATTGGAGTGGGTCATTCAGTACAAGAAAGGCTGACGCAACTCTCAGGATCAAATCTATCTGGAAGATCTCCACCATAAGACAAAGCAAAGAATTTTCTGTATATATACGTGTGTGTGTGTATGTTTATGTTGTTTGTAAAGCGCTCACTGATCATCAGACCTGCCAACATACAGAGAGGTAAGGGCCATGGCATCTTTTTACAGTGTTGCACCTTCCGTCTCTAGACCCGTTTCTCTTATTGATGGTGCTTTGGTATATTTTGCTGTACTGGAGAGATTTTTTTTCTCTTTGTGCTCTTACTGCAGCTAGCAGCACCGCGTTCATTAAGAATTGCCCGGGTTAGGCTTTCGGGTGAACGGGGTCAGGAGAAGAGTACGAGTCGCAGAGGATTGAAATACATGTATGTGTGTGTGTGTGTTTTATGTTGGCTGTAATGAAACTTAGTCCCTTGGGAAGGGGCTCCTTTCATTGCTAACTGATATTGACGAGAACACGTGGCAAATCCTGCTGCCAAGAAACGGGAACATTATTCTTGTAAAGAACTATACGGGGCTCAGTAATGAGTCCCAATCGTGTGTAATGCTAACAGCAGCCTGGACAGTTGTAAATTTATGACAAGTGTATTTCATAAGCTGGGTGCACATTAAAGTCTGCTGTCTCTGTTGGCGATACCGTGCTGTAAATACAGAATGCCAACCTCTCTGAAATGCGGACATGCCCTGCATCACTAACTGTGCGCCTCGTCCTATTACGAAGCGATCACGTTGAAATAATTGCCGCATTTACACGCTGGGTAATTTTGCTTCGCTTGTGTGTAATGCTTCAGTCACTCGTGCTTTTAAAAAGGTAGAATTATTAATTAGATCAATTAAGGCAACAACGCGTACTTTAAAAAAAAATCCCCTTCAGTATTCGGAAGTTTCTGTGAGAATTAATGCCCCCGTCCCCATCACCCCCAATATGAAACTGAAAGTCGGTAATGGTACAAGTACAGCAATCTGCAAAGATAATATACAGCTTGAGAGGTTCAGCCTATAACGGAAGTGTACAGCAAGCTTTTCAGTACATTTAAAGAGAAAGGACAGGGTGACATTTTGGATGTAAGAGACTTCAAAAGGGTCATGCAGTCAATTAGCCCTGTTTTTTTTCTCTTTGAAGATGTCAACAGATATGCTGTGCATTTTTAACATTTTCTCCATTTCCAGGATGGACTCCTGGCACAGGTTTGTGCAAGTATTTGGTTTAGCAGGAAAGTATGCTTTGCAGTAGATTCAAAATAAAACATAAGCCATTGGAACAGAGATAACACCGATAGGACAGTGTATTCAGCTCATTTCTGGAAAGCCCTGACAATCATGTGAGGTGGAACTGGAGAAAGCTAAAAGGCAAACTAGATCAAGAGAGAGAGTCCTTTCCATGAAGGATTTTGGTGAGTTAGCGGCCTTTGTGGTCATTTTGTGACAGATTGCATGCAATCAATTTAAAGTCAGTTTTGCAGGTTTTCCTTGTGAGATTATGAACTTTGACACTGTTAATTTTTTAATCCAGCACCACAGCAATTAGGTTACTGTGCCCATAATGCTTCAGTTGCTCATGTGTGTGCTGTTAGAATGATGATTTTATTAGTTTGATATTTTGTAAATCATTTTTAATCAGATGGGTTGATGGGCTGATGGGCTGAGGAGTGGCAGGTGGAGTTTAATTTAGATAAATGTGAGGTGCTGCATTTTGGAAAGCCAAATCAGGGCAGGACTTATATACTCAATGGTAATGTCCTGGGGAGTGTTGCTGAGCAAAGAGACCTTGGAGTGCATGTTCATAGTTCCTTGAAAGTGGAGTCACAGGTAGACAGGGCAGTGAAGAAGGCGTTTGGTACACTTGCCTTTATTAGTCAGTGCATTGAGTATAGGAGTTGGGAGGTCATGTTGCAGCTGTACAGGACACTACTTAGGCCACTTTTGGAATACTGCATTCAATTCTAGTCTTCCAGCTATGGGAAAGATGTTGTGCAACTTGGAAGTGTTCAACAAAGATTTACAAGGATGTTTCCAGTGTTGGAGGGTTTGAGCTATAGGGAGAGGCTGAATAGGCTGGGGCTATTTTCCCTGGAGTGCCAGTGGCTGAGAGGTGACCTTGTAGAAGTTTATAAAATCATGAGGGGCATGGATACAGTGAACAGCCAAGGTCTTTTCCCTGGGATAGGGGAGTCCAAAACTAGAGGGCATAGGTTTAAAGTGAGAGCGGAAGGATTTAAAAGGGACTTAAGAGGCAACTTTTTCACACAGAGAGTAATGCATGTATGGAATGAGCTGCCAGAGGAAGTTTGGAGGCTGGTACAATTATAACATTTAAAAGGCACCTGGATGGGTACATGAATAGAATGGGTTTAGAGGGATACGGGCTAAATGCTGGGACTAGATAAATTTAGGATATCTGGTCAGCATGGACGAGTTGGACCAAAGGGTCTGTTTCCATGCTGTGCATCTTTATAACTGTAAATGATTTAGTGACAATGATGTAATCAGCTCCTCTGTACATTCCTTCATCCATAGGGGGTGGGATCATCTCAGCAGATTTGCCTGGAAATGGAGACCATTCTGAGGCATTCAAGTTTTCATGAAACATAGGGTTCAGGACTACAGTTCAGGTATTCATTTGGCCAGAATTGTTGGGACTGATGATGTGTCCTGAAACTGATCTCCTATGTGATTGCATGCAATATGCTTAGTGTGAGAAAGCATTTTTGCAACAAGCTGCTACTTCTGCAACTATGTTGCAGCAAAGAATTACAACACACACAAAGCACTGTGATTGTTGGATACAAAAATAATGGGAGTTACTTTCATTTTTGTATCAGAGTTCTTATTGCATGACACTCCCTTTGTCTCAATTTAACAGCAAAGTTAATCTTTTTGCATATTTTTATGCATCTCTGTCTAGATGTTGATCTGTTTTGTTCTTTCCTGTGTTGCTGTATAGTTCTATTACATTGCCTTTCTCATTTTATTCATATATGTAGTCTGATACCCTTAATCATTCTTGTACCTTTACAAAACAAAACATGAACATTTTACATTCAATAGTTTTGTTTCAGGGATGTCCAATGATTAGCATCAAGTCACCACGTTAACATGTTGAGACTATATCATTTCACAGCCAGGCCATATTTACATTATGCAAATACAATATTCTGTTGGTATGAAACAAAAGAAGGATTTTTTGACATAGTTATTCATCTTCAATTATTGTCCAATACTAATTCCCTTCCGGTATGAATTTTGGCAGTTCTCAGACAAATAACTGTTCTAAGAAAGAAATAACTTGCATTTTACATAACATATTTCATGATTTCAGGTTGTTCCAAAGCACTTCACCACCTTGAAGCATATTGGGGTTTGCTCACAATTGTGGGCCATTGCTACAACCATTCCAACAAATGGCAATAAAATAAATTAACAGAAAACTTGTTTTCTTTAGGCGGGTTTGATTGAAAGATGAATGTTTGCCAGAACAAGAAATTCCTGCTCTTCTTCAGATAATGCCATTGTAACTTGTATGTCAACCTGAGAGACAAAAATATCTCTTCATGTTTAATTTATCATCCAAAAGACATCTTTTTACTCAGTATTGTACTTACGTATAAGCCTAAATCATACACTGAAATTTGGCTTGAGTTATGGCCTTCTGATTCAGAAGTACAAGGGCCACCACTGGGCCAAGCTGAAATTTTAAAACTTGCACTGCCTATCTATTGATTTCACTTGCTCACTTGAGGCAATATGTACAATAACATTAAACCAGTGAACATTCTCTTTTTTTTTCTCCTCTTCTGTATCTACATAGTGATTCTTCATATTTGAGCCTGGAGATTGTAACCAGGGCAAATGAGACCAGAGAAAGGATAGGCATCATTGACGTAAAATATTGCATTACACAACATTAAAAGAAACATCCGGATCATAGTCACTTTTTAAGTACTGTCTCAGGATAATAATAGAAGGAAAATCCAATTGATTTTCTTCACTACCCTTAGCCCTGTCAGTCTGGGCCCTGGTTATTTCAAGGCCAAGAATTCTGAGGGCGATAGAAGATCTCTTCCCTAAGCTACTCAGTCAGAGATGAATTGACTTTCCATAGGCATAGATCTATAATAACTTACCACTGGAAGAGGAAGGCTGGAATTCATCTAATGTGGAGGACTCAGAATATAACTTACCTCTGAAGTTCTGCAGATTGGGAAGGACAGCTCTATTGGGCAGTGAAAGCAGGAGAGGACTATTTTGAGATTAAATAATGATTCCAACAGGATTTCTTCCTTTTCAGACCTGTTACAGCACATTTGGGTGGGCCCAGAATTTGGAGTATACATTTTATAATTGTGGGGAGGCAAGGGCCTAGTGGCATTATTGCTGGATTGTTAATCCAAAGCCCGAGGCAATGTTCTGGCAACCTGCATTTGAATCCAGCAGATGGTGGAGTTTGAATTCAATAAATACCTGGAATTAAGAGTCTAATGATAACCATGAATCCAATGTCAGTTGTCGGGAAAACCCATCTGGTTCACTAATGTCCTTTTAAGGAAGGAAACCTGCCATCCTTACCTGGGTTTTGGTTTATTGTTGACACATGTACGTAGGTACAGTGAAAAGTTTTGTTTCGCATGCAGTATAGGCAGATCATAACATACAAGGACACACAGATCATAGGGTGCTCAGACAGAGCAAGGTATACAAGGTTACGACAGCACAGGAGGTGCTCAAAAGCAAGATCAACATTAGATGTGAAATTAGAAAGGTTCATTCAGCAGTGTAATAACAGTAGGGAAGAAGCTGTTCTTCAACCTGTTGATGTGTGAGTTCAGGCTTCTATATCTTCTGGCTGATGGAAGAGGTTGGAAGAAAGTATTACGAGGGTGGGAGGGGTCTTTGATGATGTCGGCAGCCTTTCCACGGCAATGAGAAATGTAAATAGAGTCCATGGATGGGAGGTTGGCATCCATGATCTTATGGGCTGTGTATATAATTTTCTGTAATTTCTTACAGTCCTGGGCAGAGTAGTTGGCATACCAAGCCGTGATGCACCCAGATAGAACACTTTCTGTGGTGCATCTGTAAATGTTGGTGAGGGTCCTTATGGACATGCTGAATTTCCTAAGCCTCCTGAGGAAGAAGAGGCAT